GCATTTGAGTCAATGAGTCGATGCAATCAACTGGTTTTCCTTAGATAGAAAACTTTGAATTAATTTGACTGGATGATCTGGTTGAACTGGAAAGTGCCTTGAGATGACACGTATTGTGAATTGGCGCTATAGAAATAAACTGAATTGAATTGAAATAGGGGAAAAATACCCTGAGCAGAAAAACAGATTTGATCAAATCTAAACCTAAATTCTTAAGTTGATTTAGTCGGACTAAAGAGTTCAAAGCAGCAGAAAAAAAAAAATCAAACAAAGATCACTTCTTTAGAGCCCTGTAGGTTTGGCTCGTCTGCACGACTGTAAACTGCAGAAAGTGAAGGAAGTTTTGGGCGTGTTTCACAGCCTCAGGACTAAACTCTCTCTGTAGCAAAGTACTGGATGGTCCAGTGTGACCCAGCTGACGCCTGGCCTGTGATTGACTCATCAGCAGGACAATGATCCCCAGCAGAGCAGAAACACGGAAAGAGAAATTGAGCAGACATTGAAAAGTCCTCATCCTGCACAGGGAACAAAGGCCTGAGCAGAAACAGATCAATAAAGAAACATGAGGCCGTTCAGCAGGCCTTAGATCTGAGCGTCTGTTTAGCCTCTTTCCTTAAAGGATCAAGACATCCAGAGGTTTTGCACGAGGAAAAGCGGTGATGCGGCAGTCCGGTGTCAACTCAGGACGGCGAAGTTATTCTGGCCAAAGCAGCAGCTGTCTAACCGAATAAGGTTCCTCCCTCAGAGCAGCTCCCTTCATGGCTTGGAAGCTTCGCCAACATTTACTCATATCTGACTGTTGACGATCAGACTCCATCTTTGTTGTTCTTCTTCATGTTCTTCTTGTGTCATAATCTCACTCATGGAGCCATTTTAATCCTCTGGTTATTGTTGGGGGAAGTCTGGACAAGAAAAAATGCAGAATATTTAAAGTTATGTAAAGCACCTTCAACTGCTTACGGTTTAATGGACTGTTGAAGTGAAATGGCTGCTGTGATTGATTGTTTTTGTTGTTTTTTGCACTCCTTTCGCAGGCAGTGTTTCTGTAAGTTTACCTGTTTATGATTCATGTTGAGTTTTCATCCTGAGGCACGAGAATCAGATTGATCAGTGGCTGCCATGCAGCCTGCTTCCTGCACGCTCACATCCACATTCATTTGCACAGCTCGTGTTCCTTCGGTGCGATGGGGAACTGAATTCCTCTTGTTCCCATGGAAACTGCATCTTCCTCAGCAGTGTAGTCTTGAGAAGAGTTTTGACCTACTTCCACAGCTGTGTATGTGGGGGTGTGTGTGCGTGTTAGCGGTTCAGAGTGACTCTGCAGCAGAGCTCCACTGTTACTGCGTTTGCATATCAGATGAGCATCAAACACCAGACGCCGCCGTCCTCTCCTCACACTTGAAACATTAGAAAAGGTTTGTGTGTTTGCAGATGAGCAGGAGACTTCGGGCAGCATCATCTACACTGTGGAGCTGAAGCGCTACGGAGGCCCTCTGGGAATAACCATCTCAGGCACAGAGGAGCCTTTTGACCCCATCACTATATCAGGCCTGACCAAGCGAGGCCTGGCAGAGAGGTACTACATGCTGGAAACGCTCCCAAACAACGCTCTGCTTCTACACACTTACACTTACAGGACGACTCTATTTCAAACATTTCTATAGGCTTTAGGTTTAGCTTGAAAATATTGAAGTTTATTGAATCAAGTTTATTTCTGAAATGTATAAAAATGTGTGTCTTTTCCAAGTGAGAGATCTTTGAAAATAAAAATCTGATTATGGATCCTCCCTGTGAGTAAACTTAGCTTGATAAGTGATTATGATATGAATTATTAATCTATTGGCTAACCCTGTTTAAAACAATGAATAATAACCAAATAAATAATATTCAGTATTATAATCTCACAGGAAGTATTGGGGAAAACCCCCCTTCAGTTTCAGTACATTCCTTAAAGGAATAGTACACCCAAAACATGATTAGCCTTCATTTTCTACTCACCCCCATGCTGA